AGATTTAACTGATTAAGATGTAAAAAAAAAAATACCAAAAAACACTGATAGGAATATTGGGATGTTTAGAGTCACTGCAGTTATCGCTTTATTGTATTTTTGAGAGTTTTTAAAGAATGGAAAATTGTTGACTTGTTAAAAATTTAAGTTTGTCACATTTCAGACCTTGAGGAGTACTTAAAAAAGAAAAATGAATAGATTAAATTTATAAATGCAGCTAAAAATAGGACAATTATGAGGAAACAAGTCTGTACTACCAAGATTAAATTAACATTCACAGGTCTTTGAAAGTGACTGCTTTTATTTTATACAAAATTTTACTAGATGTATAAACAAAATGACAAGATTTTTAAGTAGAACTGAAACCAAAAAAAAGCTAGGTTTTCAAACTGGAGACTAAAAATTCCTCTTAATTTATAACTCATATAATCCTCTTTTTAAGAACAAAGCTACGTTTGGACATTAAAAATATCAAGTGAAGGGGAGAACCCATAGAAGTTCTAGCGCAAAAGTTAAGCGTCCATAGGTGCTTTACTGAATTTTTGTCAACATATTCATGGCCACATAGTGGCTCGGGAATGTGTGCTTTAAAACGTTCTAGGTTCAAATTACTCTGCTTTTCTCTAATGGCCATTCACTGCTGGCCATTTACGAATGCATTTTTGTTTCTTGTTTAAAAAAAAAAAAAAATTTTTTTAAAGGACAATTCTGGCTCCCCTGTGGGCCAGGTTTGGGCAGAGGTGAGGTAGTTTCTCTTCCTGCACATGTGCTCAGCCAGCTCCTCAAGTCCTCTGAAAGGGTGTGTTTCCACTCCAACTCAGGGGCAGAGGTTCTGCCCATGCTCACTAACAGGCAGAGCTGCCCTCCAGGTACTTGTCATGGGGTATGATCTCAAACTTATTATAATGCCAGGATTTATCTAAAGCTTCTTTGAAATGACATCTATAAAGAGTCTAAACTATAATCCACATAGTCCAGTCAATCTTCAAGATATTACCAAAGTCACCCTTGGATGAACAAGACTGCCAGCAAAATACATCCAGAGAATACTTTGTTTTATATTCTTATGATGAGAATTTAGATAATTACGATAGCCATTTATATTTATTAAGAACTCAGAATGTGCTTAAATGTGATTCTCTTAATCCTCCCAATGATCTGAAGAGGCATGTGAGGCATGTATATGTTTCTGTTTTACAGATAAGGAAACTAAGGCACAAAGAGGTTAAGTAACTTGCTCAATATGTTAAGTGCTGGGATTTGAATCCAGGCTCTTAACCACTTTGACATTATGCTCTTGGCTTTTACTGAAGGCCACTGTTATACTTCCTATGAAGAAAGTATTGTTGAAGATGTCCTATTTTAAGTAACAAGCTTACTTTTTACTTTATCTTCTTTTTCCCCACCCAATTTACTTTTAAAATAAATTATATTGTATCATATGTACTTTTGTATATAAACAAATTATATCGGGAACAAAGAGAAGTACATATAGATAAAAAATAAATAAGAATACATGTTAATTTATAGAACAACTAAATGAGTAAGAAATCAAGAATTTGTTTTTCATAGACTCATATGGATCAACACCATCTAATAGAGATATAATATGAACCGCATTATATAAATTAAAACTGTCTAGTAGCCACATGAAAAAAATTTTAAAGGTAAAGTTAATTTTATAATATATTTTATTTAGCCCAAAATATTATTGCAACATGATTCCAATACTGATTACAGTATTATAAAATTTTTAATAGGATATTTCACTTTTTTTTCCTACTACGTCTTTGAAATCCAGCATGCATTTTCTCCAACAACGCATCTCAATACAGACTAGTCACATTTCATGTGCTCAGTGGCCACATCTGACCAGAGCCTATCATATTGAATAGTGCGGACAGAGATGGATGGGGAGTTAGAGACCAGGCAGCTTTAGTCCACCTCACTTAATTTTTGTAAGAAACCAAGGCCCAAGATATTCGGAGAGTTACCTATGGCAAATTCAGGATGAATACTTGGATTCCAGGACAGTGTTTTTTTTCCACTGTTCACACTTTTAAGGTGAATGCAGATTCGCTTCCCCAGAAGAGTGCCATTTCCCTTCCCCACCATTTCCCCACAGCCATCATCTAGCCTTGTTCTAAGATACACAGATCTGCTCACAGGAGCATTCCCCTTAGTGACTAAACTGGGAGCTTCTTCCACGGAGATATAAGGCAGACAATCCATCGACACCAGTGGCCACTGACTCTAGAATTTAGGATCGGATTTTATTTTACTCTTTGGTGTGTACTTTAAGGGATGAACAAGCTCTGACAACTAAGTTTCATACTTTTCTTATCTGCTATGCTACCTGTTTAAATCTGAATGTTCACTGAGCACATATTTGAAAAGGACAGAACGAAACTATATTTCTTCGTAGGATTTATTTATTATTATTATTTTAACCTCATCTATTTGTTTCATGTTGGTGATGTATTTGAGTCATTATGTCTCCACAAGGAACACAATAAATTCTTTACCCTTTGAGAAGGAAAAAACTAAAACCAAGACCAAACTTAGCAAACATCTTGCCTCTTTAATGTCCTATAGCCTCAGGTTATAACTGAATAAATGACCTCCTTAGATTTTACAATCTTATAGGAACTGGAAGAAAGGCCTAGCAGATAAGATGACTAACTCATGACTGAATCTTCCCTCCCTTTTCTGAGAAAGTCTCACAGGGGTGATGAGTTTATTCCCAGTTCTTCACAACTGCAATAGGACCTTGCAGTTAATCCTGTCTATCACCCGCCTCTCATCAGGGCCCTTGTGAAACCAATTCAATTGCATTAAGCAACTTCTCGGTAGTAACTGTTCTTTCTGGAATATGTTTTACACAGTTCCGGACCCAACGTCAGTCTACATGGGAGAACAGAGGCTGTCATGAGATATGACTAGTGTTAACCAAATCATTGTGATAGCTCACAAATTATTATTATTTTTTTTTTGAGAAATAGAAAAAGTCACTCTTCTCTGTTCTACTCTTTCAATTGCATAAATTCTTTTCAGTCCTGTAAAAGTTCTACTGCAATTAGAAATAATTCAACAATTATGATTCTAATTCAAAAGTATTTTGTAGTGTTGGTACACATGGAACTCTGTGATGACTGAAGCAGAGAAATTCCAGAGTTAATGTTTTAAATATATAGAGCTGGCTAGGCAGCCAAGTTAGAAGCTCGGCTGGCTACTGATTCAAAAGTTGGCATTAGCTGCGGTGAGGCAGCATGCTGATGACAGCCAACCCTTACTACCCATGATTTTCATCTGGAATTTATACAAGGTGGTGATACTCTCTACTAAGATGAAATTCAGTCGAACTTTCTCGCCCCTGCTTAATGCCTTTGCTTACAACTCTTTTAGCCTCAAAGGTGAGAAACTCAGAGGTAGTATCTGAGTTTCTCTTCCATTGTGTTTTTGGACATCTCTCTCTTTTAAACAGTTTCATTATTTGTTGTTTTATTCCCTTAGTATTTTGACAGTTTTCTATTCTTAACTTTAACTTACAAAGTAGAGTGTTTGGTATTTCTCACTCCAAAACCACACAAAGTTAAATCTCCTTTGAGTTACATGATCACCTTATTTTTCCTGAGATTTTTGTCCCCAACATAAACAGAACTTTCTATACTTTTTCCATTTTGCAAAAATAATTAGTTTGGAATTCTCTCTATTTATGCCCCATCCCATTCTCTTGTAATCTCAGGGAGAAGGTACAATTTCTCACCGAGCCGTATGCCAGAAAAGAGAAAAAGAAAAAAGGAAACAGCAGGGGACAATCTATGAAATGGATAAGTGGTCCCCACATGATTTCAAAGTATTTGATTCTTAGCATTTTGTCTGTTTCTTCCTTAGTATACGCTTTTGAGATAACTCCCAAATTTCATAAAGAAATAACACTATAAGATGCATAAGTAACTGGAGGGGACATGGAGTGTTGGAAAGACATCTAGACAGTAGGCACAAGCCCCAGTTAATTGGCGTTAATTACCTACTGCATAATCCTGGGCTAATCAATTAAATTCTATAAAGGTGAAGGTCCTCATCAATAAAGTATGGTATTATTATAAGTCCTCCCAATCTTATTATAAAAATCAATTGAAAAGATAAATATAGAACTTCTCTGTAACTTGCAAATAATAATAATAATAATAGCAACAAACTGTTATCTTTATTATTTTTTTTAAATACCAGGTACATTTTAAATGTTTTACATGAAAACTCATTTAATCTTTATACTAATGTTATAAGGTAGGTACTGTTATTACCTTCATTTCACATATGAGAAAATGGAGACACAGAGGCTAAATAACTTGCCCAAGATTTTCAAGCTGAGAGCTCTGATTCAAACCCAGGCAATCAGACTTTGGAGCTCTCTGCTTTCTTGTCTTAAAATGATATAATCTCAGAGTAAAATTGGGAAACTTGACAACATGCTGTACAAAGCTCACTCCTCCATAGGAAAGTCTTAATAGAACAGTCAGCATAGTTGATAGGACCTGCAAGCGATTAAAGAGCTGAGTCCAGCAAGAGATGGTGGTCATTTGCACATAGATGTGGACAGAACAGGCTTGAATGCCAGTAGGTACTTAAATGCAAAATTACCCTTTCAGAGTTCACAAAAGAGAAGATACTAATATTGTGAGTAGCCAGGCAACAAAGCTGAAATATGTCTAATTGCTTTAGCATATATCACGTATATTTATGCTGCTTTCAGGTAAACATTTATTGATGCTGTTCATGTGACCATCATTCTAAAATGAAACCAATGGATATACCTAAGGCCAGGTATAGGCTTTAATTGGAGTAAAACAAACATAAACCGTGTAATTTTTCTTTCGTCTCACCTCTAGGTATATCACTTCGGCTCAAAGACACTGACTATTGATTTTGGTTAATGGAAGGGGGCCCGAAAGTTTAGATAGAGAGATAAATCTGTGTTTTTAATCACTCATCCATACCTGCTACCTGGAGAAAACCTGCTGGCTTCTTTTTCTTTTTCTTTCCACTTCTTTCCCTTGCTGGAATTCCTTCGTAATGGAGCCCTATAATGACAGCACACAGTCAGAAAGGAGAATTAGACATTTTCTCCTTTAATCCTTCTTTTATAGAGGGCTTGCGTTTTACATCATGAAGTGCTTACCCCAAATCCACAAACTTTCGCTTAATTTTTCCTCCTTGCACCACCAATGAACTGGATGCCCTTACTGATTTGGGGCCTTTGGCACCATCTAGGATATATACATATGTGAAAAAAACACAATTATTATTATTACTATTTTTAAAGCCATGAGTCAAATGTCAGTGCATCTCTGAATCTAAGGGATTTGCCTCAATTCCTAACTGTAGAAAATAACAAATACCATGTTTTTAAGCTAGAGGAAACACAGCTATGTGGAGGAACATCCCCATCAAGCCAGGAGATGTCCTGTTGGACTGAGGCTGAATACCAATCACAAAGAGCTTTAGCTTCGAATATACTAGAATGAACAATATAAGGAAAAATGAACACCACCAAATCACCCTTTAAATTCAAAGCAGGGACCAACATGACTTTCCTTTTGTTCCTTCTCTGGCTTCAACTCTGCTTCAAACGCTTGGGGCTCTGCTCTCCATGCCTTTTTTTGCCTTTGGGTTTTTTTGCCTTTGCCTTCTCACAGGAACCCAGCCAGCACCCCCATATCTCCAAAACCAGTGCAGAAGGAAAGTCATCCCTGAGAATCTGGGAGATTTAGGGAGAAAGTGAGAGTCAAAGCTTTCTCTTCTGGTCTCTCCCTTGCTAACGGCCTGTGGCCAGTTCTAAGACAGAGGAAGGCAGAACATAGGAAAGGCCGCTTAAGCCAGAGCTCAGCTGTAAGACATTAATGTCTTTGAAAGGTTCTCTTTTGAAGATGGGTTGGAGCACAGTATGACTGGCCTCCTGTGATTCTGAAGATGTCAAATGCTCCTCAGTGTTTGGAACAGAATGATCTTTGCCTTTCTGAGTTATGCTGGCACTCTAAAGGGCAGCAGCTGCTGGGGATGGGGACAATCGAACTGATGCCCAAAACCAATCAATGGAGAGGCTTTGTGAATGAGTTCAATGTCAAAAGTAGGCGCTAGATTCCACTGGTGCCACTTATTCCACCTTGGACAACGCAGATAGCTCCTAAGGTTCAACCTGGAACTTTATTAAGCAAAGGATGCTATTTGATGCAATCTTTCAGCATACCCAGTTATCTGAGATGTTATTTTAAATATTTGATGCATATTTGAGTGTGAAACTACCCTCCTAATTGTCTGTTGGTGGTGTCTGTGTGTCTGTCTCTATTTTTTTAAAATTAAAAAAAAAAATCAGCAACTTACTAGCCTGAAGTATAATGAGAATAGTCCTCCTCCAAACAAAGAGTTCAATTTACCATGCAGGTTAATTTTGCTTATAATTTTGTTTATTTCAGGAGAAATTTCTAAACACACATGTTTATAAAACATGAAATGTACATATAGCTCTCATTTAAGAATCTGTGTTCAAAGCTCTAAAGAAACACTAGATGTTGACAAATACTCTAAGGATTTTTAGTTATCTTTTCATGTTTTTAGTTAATGATACTCAGATTACAATAATCAATTCCTTGAAACATATATAATAAAGTGCAAGAGTCAGAAATATGTCCATGTCAAAATCTACTTCTAGTCTCAATTATTTATTAAGAATATTTGTATCATTACTCTTTGGGTAACTGAATTAAATAGCCACAGATGTGACACAGACACATAAAGAAAATCCATAGACATGGCACAAAGGCCTTCTGAGGTGATTTTGCTAATGGACATAAAAAAAAAAAGGCAGCAGAATTTCAATTTTCTTAATAGAAGCCAAAGAGAAGAAAGTACAGGACTTTTCCAGATCAATCCTAAAGCAACTCTTAATGGCTAGGACTGTGCAAAGTTAAAAAGGAGACTGCCTAATTATTTTCTGAATTAGAGGTAGCTGGGAGATGTTTTAATAAGTGGTGAGAGGACCAGATGAAACAATATACACGGAAACACTCTGTAACCTATTAATGTTGCAGTTACTGGACATCTTGGGACTAAAAGCCTCATTCTGCCCATCACAGAGCCTGTTGCTAGGCAACCTCACGTCATTATCTCACCCACTGGCCAAAGTGTGTTCCAAGGAACACTTAAACGAATGCTTTCAAAAGGCCAAAGAGGCGAGATTATGTAATAATGCACTTTCTCATTTTAAATCAGTCAAGTACACATTAATGGACATAAGAATTTCTAGTCTGCATAAAAACCAACACTGGATTGTTATAATATCAGAAAAAGAAATGTGACATTTTTGTTTATTAAGTTATTTAGCTTTATGCAAAATTTCCATTGGGCTTTTTGAAATCTCTCCACTACTACCTTCACCAGCAATTAGAACACTGGTGTCTTAGTCTTCATTTTCAAAGGTAATGTAAGTGGTCTCATGACAGGTAAATAGTAAGACTTCATTCTAAATACTAAGTACTTGGACTTCATTCTCCTCAATCTCACTGCAACAAGACTTTTGACTACCTCTCCCTTTATTGTGGGGACCCCCAAGTCTACCTCCCAAGGCCTGGCTTCTTTCCTGAGCGCACAATCTCCTCTGTCAGAAAATGAGTAAATCGTCTTTCTCTTGTCATGTTTCTGATTTTCTACATTTTATTAATGACAAGACCATATTTTCTGAGGCTTAACACCCCTGTGATTAGTTTTGCCCTCCTCACTTTCTTCGCCCCCGTATCTAGTCAACATCTGTTTCAAACGTTCTTGTATCATTCTTTCCTGTCACTGTGTATTACTCCTCCGTAGAGGTGTAGTCGTTCCCATACCAGCATCTTTTCTTTTTTCATTCCTCTACTCAAACATCTTGTGGTTTCTTACTAAGGTAAGCTAACTAAAGTACTTAAATTCTATAGCAAGAGACTTACCCTACTTGTTCGATTTTCTGTGCAACCACTCTAACCTGCATAAATAAACTGCTTCAGGCAGCTGGGGTGACTCCATTCCTTAAATTCACTTTACTTGTACCTGTCTCTGTTAATGACATCTCCTTGCCTTATAGGCCTTCCATATCTATTCTTTTTGTTTTTTTCAGTTCTTCAGTGGTAATTCTAATTGTATGTTCTTTGTCAAGTCTTGTTTACCAATCTTAGCTAGATAAAACCGTGCCTTCTTCTGAATAATGATAAAATTTACTATTTCTATATGTATAAGGCCTAATGCAATGTAGTAATAATAAATGAATTCTATAAATATTTCTATTTGCCAGGACATTAATTCAACAAATAGGTTTGAAGGTGTGTTCTGTGTGCTAACAGCTACATATAAAATTAGAATAATAATCTCCTAAAATCATGAATAGAAAACTCATAGTATTTAATTTACTCTACTTAACCTTGTCTGAACAGAAGTCCATTGCTATGTAAGTCTAGAGATCAAAACTTTAGTATGAGGCTACTCTGGAAGAAAATATGTTCATGCCTTCTACTGCCAGATAACTTGTTTTACAAATCTCTAGAAATAATCTTTTATTCCCCCTAATTTTAAATGAAATGGAGTTAGGTGTTTAATATTTAGCCAGTTATAATGGGACTCCTTCTATCTTAGTTTCAACCAAGGTCCCAAAAATATGACAACAAAATGATGACTTGTGAATGCAGTATTTACATGATTTAGAAAACATCCAACTTCAATGACGTGTTTGATAATACCAGAGTATTATCCTCAGGATTGTAATCAAATACAGCTATAACTTAATGATTACCTTTGTACTAACTTGATAGACTAAAAGTAATGATATATTACTTTTTGAAACATCTGGATAAATGGCAACCAATGAGTAAGACATTTTCAGTTTATCCAGCAATGCTGAGTGAAAGGAAATATACATCTAAACCAGAGGTCAGCACCTTTTTATGTTAAGGGCCAGTTAGTAAAAATTTTAGGTTTGTGGGCTCTTGTCTCTGTCACAATTACTCAACTCTGCTATTGTAGCATGCAATCACAGTATGTAACCGAATGAGTGCGACTGTGTTCCAATAAGACTTCATTTATAAAAACAGGTGGGGGCTGATTTTGGTTTGATGACCTCTGCTCTAGAAGGACTGCATTGATTCTCTAGAGAGACACTTATTAGTTTATCCAAGAAATTTATTATGCATCAAGTATATGCCACATTCTTTGCTGGGGACCAAGAATACAAAGATGAACAAGATGAATGAGAAAACTCTGGCTCACACCTTACAACTAGATCACATTATTATACACAAAATGATAGAAGCAGAAGTAACAGTGTGAACATTTCTGTGGGATCAGAGAAGAAAAAAATAATTCATTCTGTCTGGGGATGGGGAGGGTATACTAAGGGTCCATGATGATGCTAAGATTTAAGCTGGGCTCTGAAGAACCAGAATTTTCCTGGAGTGAAGTGTTAGGTAAGAAGGTAAACGTGAAGTCTAATTTGTCACTGTAAGTATTGCTAAACGCCATTCCAATTCCTTTATTGATGAGCCAATGAGTTGTAAGAACCACACATATAAACACACACATACACACACACACACACACACACACACGTATACACACACACGAAATGAGAAATCAGGTTAATCATACTTAACCTCTCCTGAGTCTAGGTCTGCATAGCAGATTAGTCTCATATAGTGCAAATTAAAGGATTTTACAAAACATTATTCTCCAAATTGGGTTTCTGAGGACAAAAGAAGCTAGATCCTACTCTATTAATCAATATTGTGTCAGCCCCTGCAATGTCATAAAAATGAAAGCATGAAATTTCCCTAATGATTGAACGATATTAAGGTCCATCTTGGGAAACAGGTAGGGGGAGTCCCTGAAAGACAGGAGACAGCTGTAGCAATGCTGGTGCTACAATGAAACGAGCAATTAATTCATCAGTCAGCCCAGCCTACTGAGCACATTCCATATACAGTTACCTTTATTCTAATTTCATGCTCACTGAGCAACTTTCTGGCTTATGAACCTACCAACTAGGAGAAAGAGAACAAAACAAATGAATGACATTGGTTATTACGAAAGCTGTACCTTCCAAAGTAAACCAGAAAATTAGTATTCTGCTTTAGAAATCAGTGTTTTCTAAGTTGGAACAGCACGAATAGGTCATTCTTAACTTGATTAAATCTGGGTGTGTTATTGAGTTTCGGGACTCAGAAAACTACGGTCTGGAGTCCTGACGCTC